ATATATTTATTTTTTTTATTTTTGTGGGCTTGATGAAGAAACACAAAATAAAAACAAGTTAGAAAGTGCTCCAGCCGGGAATATTCGACCAGAAAATACCCTGAATAGTGCGTAATGCTTGAATTGCCATCATTTATAAGTTTTTAAGAAATACATTTTTAGGAAAATAAAAAATATAAATTTTTATCGATGTTAAGCAAAAAAGAGGTTTGACAGATGGACATGCGGATAGAGAAAACATATATTAATATTGATATACATTAACTATATATTTTATGGGTGTGACCACGCCTACTGCTGCCCTTTGCATTTGCACACACGATTTCAGGGTATCAAACACACTGGGACTTGCTTGCTTCTCTTTAACATAAGTGAAAAAGGTACAAAGTATTATATTACACATTAAACAAATAATGCTTAAATCAAAATAAAAAGTGTGCTAAAAATTTTGTATACGATTAGAAATTAGAGAGTGGGGGCAGACAGATATACCGAAAAATAAGAAGAAAAATTAATTTACAAATGAATATATAAATACATGTGAGGGGAAGAGATAAGTAAATATCTAATTATACGATAAAATCAAAAATAAAAAAAAATAAAAACAAACCGAAAACAAATATCTGCTACGCTTTGAAATATAGTTTCTTATTAGAGACTGGGCACCCCCTCGCAACAAATTGCCAAAAATTCCGACCAATTTGTACATTTCGTCATCAGATGATCTGAGAGAGCTCATGGATGCTACTTGAAAGTCCACTAAAAATCGATCGTTTGGGGAGCTATCAAAAATTTGGTGTGTATGTTTTTTTTAAAGAAATTTTGGCTGAAGTTTTAAGCAATTTGGTGATATATATAGATGATTTTTATGTGGGGGTACGAAATTTGAATATATGTATATATTGAAGATATTGTAGAAGCCAAATAAATATAGTTTACCATATATATTATATGCAAAAATTTTGGGCAGCGTGCAAATATTTTAGTTTTCATTTGAATCAAACATAAAAATAAAACAAATTTCAAAATTGATTTTAAAATTAAATATTTCATATTTAAAKTTAAATAAGACTAAACAAAAACTGTCTTCATTTTGAAATTTTCTCTTCTTTTTTTTTTTTTACCAATTTTTTTATATTCTTTATGATTTGTTATTGATTTTTGCTAAGGAGGTAATATAAATTATATTTAAATGTTTTCAATTAATTAATATTCACTTTTTAGTTATTTAGTTTTTTAATGTTAAATTATTTATTGCTATTTGCGTGTGTATTGAAAGTTGTGACTACTATTTACTTTATTTATTGTTTATTTAAGGATTTGCGTTTATTATTTATTTATTTTTTAATTAATGGTTTGTTTTTCTTGGTGGCTGAGGTGGGCATAAGTTTTTTATTTTCCCTTATTTTATTTTTAGTTTTTAGTTAGTTTTAACGCTTTTTTTACTTTGCACATTGAACTAAAACAAAAATAAAATTCAAAACTAAATAAAAAAACTAAGCAAAAAAAGGTTATAAACACGGGCTGACTTATATCATAGTTGGTGGTGCGTGCTGCTRCTGCCTTTGACCTTGCATATAGGGTATGTGTGTATTTAATCCTTGAGGAATATCTATAAAACTCTTTGCGAGTGTGAGGGTATGTGCGTTTGCCAATTAAATATCTAAAAAAAATTTATTTTGTGTTTTTAGATTAGATGTAGTTGTGTGTGTATGTATTTTATGAAAATTTTCTTTTGAATTTATAGATAGTGTTAAATCTTAAATTTAGACGAAAATTATATACGTTTGTTTGCCAGATTCATATATATCTAAATATATATACATATAATTCTCTCAAGTAAATGCCAAAAGTGTTGTTGTTGGGAGTTTTCTTCTTTGTTAAGGTTAGGGTATATATACTATATGTATATATGTATTTTATATATTTATAAACTTAAGCATAATTCTATATAGTTAAGTATGCAAACGAAACATTTCTTTTACTATCACTTCGTTCATTATTCCCCATTTTATTTGTCCTGCTTGAATGAAAATATTTTGTTTTTTTTTTTTTTTTGTTTTTGTTTTTTTGGTATATTTAAATGGCGGCAAATTCAGAAAAACTGCCAAGATTTTCAGTGTTGGGAATCGCGGCACATGCACAAAAATCCGTTAACTAATAACTATAGCCCATAGATTCGTAGTCCCATCGAGCTTTTAAGGTATTTCGGAGTGAAACCAAGCCAAAAAAAAGTCACCAAAAATGTAGGGAATTGGGAAAGAGGGCAGGGTTTATTTGTGGGGTATATAATATCAAAAGTCTATCACACTGTTAAATATATTTTTATTTTTAATTTTTTCAAAAAATTTCTACGTTGCGTAGACTTTACACAGGTATAAGAGAGGGAGACTGAAATATATAAAATTGTATCACAAGACTGAGAAAAACGGAAAAGCAAAATTTTAATTTAAACTGAATTTAATTTTGGCAATAGAAAGAAATTTACGAATTGCATTACAAAATTAAGAATGAAATTAAATAGAAGAGTTTTTATAATTATCTCTTTCAAATAAGATAAAAATAAAGGAAAATATACAAAATTGTAACATAAGAAATAGGAAAAGGGAAAATAAAGTGGGAAATAGAAAACAAATCTAATGCAAATTCGAAAGACTTGCTTAATCTCTAAATGAGTTCACAGTTATTTGAGGCTGGGTTTTTATATTTAAAAAAATTGTTCGCAACGAACAACTCACAAATCGCAAATTTAGAATTTGGTTCACAGTTTTGGCTGTTATTTTGGTTCATATCTTATCGAGGCAATTGTGGTAAATATTTTTTAGACATTTTTATAAAATGTTTAACACAGGGGATGAGTCGGGATGATTTTTAAATTTTTATAAAATTTTTTGTCACAGGCAAAAGTTAAGTGCGAAGCGAACCAACTTTGGGAATCACTAACAAAAGGATTCGATGGATGCGACGCAATTCACAGATAGTTTGACGAAAACTTAAGGAAAGAAATAAGTTTGATCGCTAGAATCATGACGTTATAAACGCAACACAATACACCGATCGATGTTAATTAAAGTTAAACGTTTAACACAGTTTCTGCTGTTTAGATTGGACCGAATCATTCGCTGTCACAGTTGGAATTATCATTTTGGTTTATCCTTTTAATTCAATTAAAAGTATAGATTAAAATCTTTTGAAATTTTCACACAATTTGGAGTTTATTTTTGAAAGAATGTCACAGTTGAATATCAGATTTGGTTTTTCCTTCTAATTCGATTAAAAGTAAAGATTGAAATCTTTTGAAACTTTACCACAATTTAATTTAAAAAAAAAAATTTTTTTTTCACAGTAGGGATCGAATATCAAATTTGGTTTTTGCTTTTAATTTAATTAAAAGTTCAGATTGAAAATCTTCAAACATTTTACACAATTTACGAGTTGGAAAGGCTGTTTAGTAGAGGAGGGGAATTTCTGGTGACTTTTTTTTATTGATGCACAAAATTAAAACACAAAACAGGAAACATTGAACCGCTCTTTAAATTGTTTGGGATGTTTGCATACCATATAAGTATATGTATATATATTAATATCGTAAATTGTTAAATTTAGAAAAAATACTTGCTTAAACCTAGAAAAAAGCCCTATCGATAGCGATTTGTGATTTGCGAGTGCAATGCACACAAAACACACAAGAGATCCATCACAAACGGCTGTTCTGCTACTAATTTGTCTTGCTGCTAAACAATTACTACAGATAGATACATAGATACACGAATATGATAAAGATACAAATATAGTGGTGAGAGGGAGATAGGTTTGGGGAGGGGAGAGAAAATGGGGCCGATCTAAACATATTCATACATAGTACAAAAATGATAACCTAGCCGAAATATTAAATACGAAAATTTTGAATTGATTTTTCGCATTTCTTAAGGGGGAATTCTTAGCTTATTTAAAACTTATTAATTAATAATCACGCTGCGCCGAAAAAATTTTTTTTTCTTTTTTGTTTATTACTTTTATATAAATAAAAACAAAACTTATATCTTAGGATGGGCGGGCAACTGGTTCTCCTCCTCAAATACCCTTTGGGGATTTTTTTTGATGGGGCTTTGAACTATTTTCGGATTGCATGTGCCGGTTCTAACTGAATTATTGAATTTGTTGTGGAGTGCTTAAGGGTGGTTTTGAGAGTGAGGGTGGGGGTTGGCCTGGGGTGTTTGTTGGTTGCAACTGCTTTTTCAATTCGCTGACTATAATCTAGAAATAATTACCAATCGTTTAGGTAAAGATGTGCAACTTATCGCTTAATTTAGTTTATAAATTTATGTGTAATTTTTTTTTTCGTAATTATATGTAAATTGTAGCAAAAATTTGTTTTGTTTACTTTCTCATTATATATTATTTAATTTAATATTTTTTTTTATGTTTATTTGTGTGTGTGTTTTATTTTTTATGTTTTTATTGAGCAGCACAGCAAATTTTCATCTTGTTTCAACGAACTTTAAATGCTTTGCTTTCAATACATTTTCACATCCTTCTTCATACTCGCTAAATAATAGAAAAAAATTTCATGCCAAAAAGTAGGCGAATCGTTTTCTTCTTCTTTCCTTTTTTTTTTTTTTTTTTTGGTAGATTTTTTTTGTAGTATAAAAATTTCTTTTATAATATAAAACTAAGAATTGCTTTCATTTAGATTTGTTTTCATCATTTTTGCTTGTGTGTGTTAAAAATGTTTAAACTCAACAAAAGTAACAGGAAATTTGTTTTTAGTTACGTTTTGTTTTGTTTTTTTTTGCTTTTTTAGTAAAATCGTTTTGACGTTTTTTGTTAGATTAGTTTAAAAAGAAACTACAGCAACTTTTTTGCTGGCAGGGGGCAAAAGTAGTTGGTTTTTCTTTATTTGGATATATTGCTATAAAAGTTGTTGTTGGAAATTTGCTTTTACCTGCCTGTTGGTTGTTTGTGTTGCCGTTGCTCTATTAGTATGTAATGTTACTGTTAATATTTACTGTTAATGTTAATGTTACTGTTACTATTCTCTGTTAAATTTGGCTAGAGTAACATTTGCGGCTTTAGTTGGTCATGTTTAGATAGTCGTTGAAGAGCTGCATGCAGGCAGCGCCACCTGCCGGCTCCTCAAATAGATGCTGCTGCTGCTGTTGTTGCTGCTGCTGCTGCTGGGGCATGGCATGTTGCATGTTGCTGCTGTGTCGCCAAATGTTGGCCATCTCCAAAAGCTCGCCGGCTGCGGATGATGAATTGGAGCTCACATCTGAAGCATCGTTGAGCTTGTTGATGTTGTTGTTGTTGTTGCTCTTGTTGCTGCTGCTACTGTTGCCATCCTGGCTAATGTGCAAATTGCACAGGAGATCGCTAAACATGTCCTGAGCAGTAGGCAGCTCCCAAATATTCTGCGCGGCACTCAACTTGGCATATTGTGTCCCATTGCCATTGCCCCAGCCATTGCCACCGTTCGAGGAGGCGCCCGAGGAGCTGGTCAACGAGGCCGTGGGGGAGGCAGCATGCGGCAGCATTAGTTCCTTAGCTATGTAGAAATTATCCCTGAGCTGGGCGCAACTGGGCGAGGTTTGTGCCCAGAGCAGCTCCTTGCTGTGGCTGCTGGTCGGACTCAACGACGGCTGTGAGCCGCTGCCCGAGGAGCAGCCGCTGGTCGAGCCGCTGGTTGAGGCATTGCTGGCGCAGCCCCACAATGCGGATATGGCCTCCGCCTGGGCCATGTGGGCGGCGGGTGCCGGCTGTGACCAGGCGCTCAATTTGACGCCATTGTTGCCGTTGCTGTTGTTGCTTTGTGAATTATGGCTAATTAATAAGTTACTAATACTGCTGCTAACGCCAATGTTGTTGCTGTTGTTGCCGTTGTTGGCGTTGCTGTTGTTTATGTTGCTCAATAAAAGCCCGTTAGCATCGTGGCCCAGGCTCAAGTGGCCCAATTGCTTGAGTGGCTGTTGCTGTTGTTGTTGTTGTTGTTGCTGATACTTGCTCATAACATCCGCCATGGCCATCAGGCTATTTGAGTAGCTTAACTTGTGCTGCTGTTGTTGTTGGGTTTGTTGCTGCTGCTGGTAGTTGGCAGCACGAGCAGCAGCAGCTGTTGCTGTTACCAAATAGGCAGCTTCTGGTGCACGTTGTGTGGCAGCTACTGCTGTGGGGGCAACTGTTGCTAATTGCTGTTGTTGTTGCTGCTGCTGCTGCTGCTGTTGCTGTGGTAGCTGCTGCTGTTGCTGCCTTACCTGCTGATGTTGTTGGGCGTGCGGATGGGCGCCAATTAAGTCGGGATTAATCTGCTGTTGCAGCGGGGCGGAGTAGTCGATGGCCGCATTATATAGCGGCTGCTTGGAGGCCGTTGAAGCACCATTGCCACTGGCTGTGACTGCGTTCGCATTTACATTTGCGCCAGCAACCGTTGGTGTCTCCAACGGGGCCTCATGTTATGCGATCGCCTGCAGCCGCGTCGCATTGCTCTTGGTGTAGCAGTAGCTAAGCGGCTTAACAAAGTGAGTGTCCTGCGTGTTGCAATAGGGGCAAGTGACGCCGTGCGAGTAGTCGCTGTAAAAGCTCAGCCGCTGCTGTGGATGCATTAGCATCTTGAAGCAATTATTGCACTGCAAGAAAAATACAAAAAACGAAAAAGAGAAACAGAAATGTAAATGAAAACGAAAATTTTATTTAGAGATTAGCTGGAATTGCAGAGGTGGTTAAGTAGTTAAGCATATGAAAAGCTCACGAAAGAGCATAGAGCAATAAAGACCATTTGGCTTATGTAAAACTAGTCTAGGCAGGATTCGCAATAGAGCGACGCACAGTGGGGCCTTTGCTCATTTTGCGTTGCAAAAATCATAACTTTTGAACCAAGCAAGATATTTCAAAAATTTAAAAAGCATTCGAAAGAGAATTTTTCAAGCTATAAATAGGCCAAAATACAGGGTGATGCGTTAACAGGGTGCTTCACAGTTTTACCTCAAACCTGAAAAATGTGATTTTTGTCCTAAAATGTATGTTTTTYTATGAAAAACTABCATTTTTTTTGTTGAAATTGATTTTATTTAAATTATATGCAATAAATATAACAAAACAAATAAAAAAATATTAAAAAAAAAATTTAAAAAAAAATTTTTTTTTTTTTCATTTTCTGTAAAGTAGTCATCTGCATGCAAATTTGACCTTTTTTAGTACATTTTGTGCGTTTTTATGCCGACTTTGGGTTAGTTTTTTGCTATAGAAACCCGGGGGGACACCTAGGGGCAGCAAAAGTTTTATTTATATTAAAGAGGACTGTGCGACGTCAAGGCATTAAATGAGGTTGACTGTCTTCGAAAAATGTATTAAGGCCTTTTAATTTGGGCTTAGTTGAGTATTAATAAATAGTTATCAAAACATTCAGTTAAAAATATGAAGCCTTTATATATAAAATTACATTTAAATTTAAAATGAGATTTAAAAGCTGAATGGACTTTTTAATTTTTTTTAGGATATCAATAAAATAATTGAGGAATATTTCATATTTAAGTTCGTAATGAACTTTGAAAGCTCTTGAACTCTAAAGACTGTCCAACTTTCAAATCATCCTCATATATGTTTATTATTATATTATTTAAGCTTGATTAAGTACAATTCAATCAGCTCTAGCTCAATTTCTCTTGGCTCTTATAACTCTTTAAGTTATAGTGAAATATTTAACATTGCATTAACATTAAATGTTCACAGCACAAACTTAAATTTTACTCACCTTGAAACGCTCAGCACAGCATGGCATAGCCGCAAAGATATCGTAGGCGTACATTGTGCCAAGCACCAGGTTGGACCCATCCCAGGGCTCATTGCAGAATCTATAAGAGATAATCGAATTGATTGAATTACATTGAGACATGCAGGCGGCAGGCTGGAGCCTTCTTAAGGCTTCCTCTCCGAACACTTACCGGCAGCTGATGACACGACAGCTGGAGGTGCCATCCAGGCAGCTCATGCATACGCAGGTCAAATAGAGCATGCGTCCCTCGTATTTGACCTGGAATGGGAGAACAAGAAGAACATACACATTTAATAAGCTTACTTGGTTGGTAGGAGAACAAAAAAAAAAAAAAAAAAAAAAAAAAAACAAAAAAACGGAGCTCTAGTTCAGTCGCATAATTCATTCCCGCAACAATGAAAAATTATTTCTTTGCAACTTTCTACATGAAAAAAAGGGCTTCAACTGGCGACGCGACATAATAATTTCAAATAAAATGCAAAATGCATAGCAAACGCCCACGAGACGCTGGCCCTCCGACGGTGGCAGCCAGCAGTCGAGGCACACTGCACAGATCCAGGGCCCAGACAAGACCCAAACAGACCCAGCCAGACCAGACCAGACCAGACCAGACCAGACCAGGCCAGGCCCGGCCAGCTGGCAATGAATTATAAATCCAGGTTTAAATTAAAGCGCAAACAAGGGAAGCGGGAAGCCATGTCAGCCCAGGCATGACAAAAAGCCAAAGGCTGGCTACGTAGGTTGCTCTTGCTCGTGCTGCGACGCTGTTGCACGTGGGTCGTCGCATCGGTTGCTTCGTGTGCGTCTGTGCTGCAGCCACTGCAACTGCAACAGCAACAGCAACAGCAACACTGTGCCCGCTTGGCAGTTTATTAGGCGCTGCCGTAATTATGCTGACTGAAATGGGTCATAAATTGCAAATGCTATAAAGGCGACTTAGGTGCGCCAAGGTGCCCGCTCGCTGCCCCTATGCTCCTCCTCCTGCTGAGTATTTCACATTTCACCCATTGTAGAGACACATTATACATATATATATGTATATAACTCTTTTCTGCCTGCTGTCAAATTTGCAACAACTAATTGCAGCTGAAAGTTCTGCCTGCGCCACGTGGGCGAGTGAAAGCGGATCGAGCGTGGGTGTAGCCCCAGCGCCAACATTTGATGGTTATTAATGATGAGCATTTAGGGTCGACAAAGAGTAAAAGAAAGACAGAGATAGAGATAGAGAGAGATGGACTTACCTCAATGCAGCCGCTGGAATGCTGCTTGGGACTTAGAAAGAAGGAGCCATCGACCAGGGGATAGCGATCGAATACAAGCAACGGCTCCTCGCACAAGATGCAGGCGACGCGACTCATCTGCGACTGGGCCAGCGATGAGAGTATGAAGAGGCGTGTCTCATCATTGCCATGATTGCCCTCGTCCTCAATCTGCAAATACAAAGAGAAAGAACGAAATTCGTTTAGCATATGTGTCTGTGTGTCGGTGTTCGTTGAATTTAAAGTTGAGCTTCGAACGATGGGGGGGAGCAGGAGAAGCATAATCAAATATTGAACGGGAATTTATGGGTATCTAAGAGAAAAACTATAATAATGCCAAGGTGCCAAGGCATAAGCACAATATGTTTACGTACTATACAAATACATATATACAAATATGTTTGTGTGTGTGTGTGCAGAAGCAGGACGTTGGCGTCTAAGCGCAACAACAAATGAACCATAAAATCCAAACGTGCCCAGCCATTCAGCCAGCCAAGCAGCTAGCGACGTGTGTGTCTAGCTGGCTAAGCCAAATGGCTAGCAGGATGGCTAAATTGAAAGCATACATGCACACACACACACACACACACAAACACACATTTATACATATGTATATATACAATGGCCAGCGCAGACCTGAGTCAGGGCAATTCCCCAATCGATAATCAATATGGCGAGCCGCAGCTCTAATAAAGCCGTCAAGCAGCCAAAGTCAATAGGAATGCCAAAATAATACGACTGCATGCACAAGGTTAACTGCATAAGAGATACCCTGTAAGTCAGCTGAGTATGGGCTTTATAAGCACAGTGAAGCTTAAATTCAATTTAAGATTCAGATCAGTAACAGTACAGCTTAGGCAGTGTCTGCTGTATCTGTTGCATTTGTCTATGATAAATTTTGCTTTAAACATTTTTTTATGCACATTTTTATAGATATTAAGTGCGATATTTTAATATTAAAGTAAGCTTTATAGATTCTAAAATAATATGGAGTATGCAGAGAAGAAACAAGAAGCGACCTGAAAACTATCGATATTTATCGATTTTTTAAGCCGGAAAGTACAATCAAATTATCTAGTGTCACATAACTAAATCAATTGCACATTTCCTACTTATCAGATGTATATTCATCAGCAATCTCTACATTTATTTACAATATCAACATTCCTCACATTACATTTACAGGGTATATGCGCAAGGTGTTGAAGGATGCACAAAATATAGCCAAATACATAAAAGCTACAGCAGACACTAATCAAAGTTTGAGAAGCTTCAATACCACACAGGTAATTGCCGTTTGCCCAGGTGACCGAGCACTCGCACGCACACACACAAACACAGCAGCACACACGCACACCTGTACACACTCTCACCCGCCCGCATAACGACACAGACATGCTGCATTATTTAGTAATAAGAGTTAAAACACACACACACACAAGGACGCCAGGACACGTACGTCCTAATCAATTGCAGCAATGGGAATTGAAGCACTACGTGTTTATGTGTCTCTTCCAACTGCGGGACAAGTTTAATGCACTTTTAATAAGACGCGCTCAAGCCAATGCAGATGAACCGATAAAATGTTGTGCAAATATTTGCAAAGAACTTTTAATCACCAGCCAGAGAATAGAATCCCGTTGAATCGAATTAACCAAACAAAAACAGTCAAAACTGATGCGAAAAACAAAACAATCAGCAAATTAATATTTGCACAAGGTGCTGAGACTCTTGGCCTCTTCCCAAATTCTATTATCTAGGCTGAGCTAAAAGGGGGCAGCCATTCAAGAGTCCTGCTCTATGTTTGTCTGTCTCATAAATTCGCATCCAACAATGAAATCAACGCGAGCTGGCGCACTAAACTCGATTAATCAATGTTTGCTTTAATTTTTGGCCAGGCTTGTTTGAGTTTTGGGGCGTGGACGTGGGCGTGGGCGTGGTGGCTGTTGCAGAGTAAGCGATACGAAGCACAAATTTGACTCATTAAACAAAAGCGCTTTCGGTATGGCAGACACGCTTAAGCCGCAATTGAGTTGATTGAGTGAGGGCTGGGCATAAAACAATTGCATATTCTAGGGTTACACAAACAAGAACAACAACAACAACAACGTCAACGTCAACAGCAACAATAACAATAACAATTCAAGTTAAGCTCTAGCCAAAAAGCACTGCCAAAGACACGCCATCAATTTCAGACAATGCCTTTGGTCAATAAATAAAGAGAGAGTGAGACAGAGTAAGAGACAGACATATAGAAATTCCTTTACAAAGAGTGAGAGTGAGAGTGAGGGAAATATCTATAGACATTTCTATATATTGCTTGGCTACGTGACAATTTGTTAATTTGGCTGCCCAAATGGTCAAGTGGCGCAACTGGTTGCAACTGCCACAAAACGCCCAGCCACATCATTTATGAGTGTCGCGTGCTGCTTTTTGGGGGGCTTTGCCCCAAATGCTCGAATGCCACAAAATTTTCATAAGCATGAAAATTTATTTCTATTTCTCTTAGCTTGAGTTTGCTCACTTTTCTTTTTTATTGTCAAGTTTCGGCAGGAGTGCGTTGCCCGCCGAAATTGTTAAAGTCAAAAGTCGAAGTGCAATAAACTTGGCCAAGTTTGCTGGCGCTAATGAAGCCATTCAGTTGTCATTTCCTTGGCCAACAGCAGGCACATAGCCACACAGCCACCCAGCATAAATCAGCTTAGACAGCGTGCTTCCCTTTGACCATAAATATTCACATGCTATTAAAGGGTCGTCGCGTTGCTGCTGCCACACAACGAATTTGGTAACTCGTAATTCCACTGGCCACAAATCAAAGTCCAGGCGGCGCTTGAATACCCTTCAAGAGGTTATTTTAGCTAGGCATCTTCTTTTTGCTGACAGAGCAGAGCAGCATTTTAGCAATTTTAATGAGCTATGTGGCTCTATATATCTAGTTTAAAATGATTTTTTCTGATAATTGAATTTCATTTATACGAACTAAAACCCTATATTTCCAAAACCAAAATCCTATATCATCTATATATGAATAATATAGTTAGTCTTGAATAATCTAATAGAAGCTGAACCATAGGAGGTATAATTTTTATTTACAACATTCCACACTTCATCAACTTCTATGCTACATTTAAATTGTATAGCCAAATAATATATTATTAGTGCATACAATAGTCGTCTTGCCCGCTTTCTACTCTACTTTTTGTTTGCACTTACGAGTCGACAACATGTGCCACACCCCCTAAGCAGACAATGGCAATTCAATTGCCGTTGCCAAGTGCTACGATTTTCATAAACACATTAAATTAAATTGCATTTCAATGGGCTGAGCTGTCCAAATGGGGAAGCTAAGCGAAGAGATATATACAAATATCTACATTCTATATACTTCATACACGATGTATAGTTGCCAAGTGTCTCAAAAGTTGGTGAAATCCATTAAAATTGTTACTTTCGATGGCCATAAATATTTGAGAGCGAAATTCCATGAGTTTATCCCCCTTTTTGGCTACATTTGGCGCCACTATGCAGACTGAGTGAGAGAGAAAGAGATAGTAATAGAGTTTATTCATTTAAAACTTACGCATTATTTAACTTTATTTTTCTCTTTTTTTGCTCATTTGGTTGATTTACCATTAAATGTAATTTAATTACTGAAATCAATATTCCAATCAAATTTAATTCCATTTTTTTTTTACAGCAGACAATTCAAATTGTTGTACAGATTTCAGTTCAAAATTTTACTATTTTGATATTTCATTTAATGCATGCCAAGCATGTATTAAGTACAATTTGGCATGAATTGGGAGTTAATATTAATCTTTCAATTATTTGTAGTAAATTATGCGGAAATTATGCAGTCATTGAGAGTTGGCTTTCATTTTTGAATGGCAAAATATGTTGCAGGCGGAATATTATTTATAATAAATATGTGAATAAATATTTTACGCATATTTTATTTCATATATTTTACTGTATGAACATTTTAAATTTTAAACCAATTGAAATGCATAGATGTGTATTTTATACAGCCTTATTTTCGCCTTTAATCATATCATCAAATTAAATTCTTATGCAAAACTTTTGTCACAGACTTCGCTGCCTTCGCCGCCCTTGCCGCCTCTTAGCCTTTATTAAAAAGTTAACAAGTATGCTTCTACATTTACAACGTATTTACTTTTAAGCAAGTTAAAAACTCAAAAGGTTACTGCTATGTGTGCTCATGTGTGCAGGAGTGTGTAAGTGTGTGTGTGCTTACGTGTTTTGTTTGTGCAGACAGTAAACAAACACGAAACTCGCTTTTAGCCCCTTTAGGCAGTAGCAGCAGCAGCAGCAGCTAGCTGTTATTAAATATTTTAGTTGCTTTTTTGAGCAATGTGAAAGAAGTGTAGTTGTTTAATTTATGCGACACTGTGCAACGCCTCATTAATCGACAATTGATGTTGATAGTAGCAGCCTACGTGGTGCCGGCACCACCAAACCACCACCACCACCACCAACAGCAACTGTGGGCGTCCTCTCTTTGCAGCCATTTGATGTCAAACGATTTTATTAAGCCTGCCTGGTTGCCTGCCTGCCTGCCTGCCGGAAAAACTATCAACGTCAATTGACGATTGTCATTTGTGGAAATTGAAAAATTGTATTGCCAGCTGAGTGAAGCACGAAGCAAATGAAACGGCTTGCCATAAAGTGGGCGACAACAAAGACCAAAGACAAAAGAAAGCTGCAACAAAAACTGAATTACAAAATGCCACTCAAGGTGCCAGTGGGCGTGGCAGTAGGCAGCAGGCAGCAGGCGGTAGTCAAGAGGCAACTGGCTCTGCTGCTTAATTTGGCCAAGTGGCAGCCCAGATACAAAATGACTTTTAATATTGCGGCTGCTCAGCCAAAGCCAGCTGCGCCTTTCCACTGCAGATTAACTGGCAGCATTCAAAGCCAATGACAAGCCAGAAAAACAAGCAAACGTCGTTTGACACTGACAATGAAATGGAATTGCAAACATGCCAAGCCCCAACTGTTTAGCTAGAAATCTCCCACACACACACACACGCACCCACACACACACATACACAGCCAGAGACAACACTCTTGCTAAGCAACTGCATCTGTGGCTGCAGCACAATAATCTTTAAAAGCAATCCAAGCGAGCAAACAGGCCACAGTTAAAAGGATAT